CATGCAATTTAATGCTGCTGTTTTTGAAGACATCATTCTCAGACAAAACAAACCAACAGGAACCATCCTTGTCTACCCAACAACCAGGGAAAGGTAAACCCCCCACCCCAACTTAAATATATATATATATATATATATATAGATAGATAGATAGATAGATAGATAAGGTAATCTGTTGTGTTGTATAAATCATTCTGCATTTACGTAGAACATAAAGAAGAGTCACAGTTCAAAGAGTATGCATGTGATGTAGACAATTTATTCTAATACTTAGCTTTCAAGAGTTGAATCCTATCCAATTCGTTTCGTAGTCATCGATCATAGCTTATTGGTGTTGAAGCGTAACGTAGACAACTTACACAGCTCAAACTCATGATCTATAAGTGACTTACCATATATACAGATAATAAGTACTCCCTCTGTCCATTGTTCTTTGTCATGGTTTCTATTTTTAGAGTCAAACTATAAGAACTTTAACTAACATTTTAAGATGTACTTTTTCATCATATTGATATGCAAAAAATGCAACTTATAGTACTTTTCTTATAATTTTTGAGTATGTAAATTTTTTGCTTAAAATATCGAATTAATGTAATCTAATTTAACTTTGAAAATTAATCAAATTAATTTTCGAAAAGCATAACATGACAAAAAAATGAACGGAGGGAGTAATATACAGATTTATTTTAATTTATATACACATATAGTATTATTTTTTTTTAAAAAAACTATACTATCAAATCATATTTTTTTATATCATTATCTTTAAGATTTTATATTTTATTATTAAAGAAGGAATATTAATAGATATTTTTTGAATGACATGATGATAATATAAGAATTTATTTACATTGCACTCTTAAATAATCAGGTCAGATTTACCTATTGTATAATGTTAATATATTTTCAAGGAGTGGAGTTAAAATTTAGCTTTTGAATTTGATATAATTCAATAAATTTAAATTAAATTTTATACTGATAGCATATATAACTTAAAATGCAGGTGGGATGATAGAATGTCAGCAATAATACCAGAGGAGGATATATTTTATATTGTTGGATTTTTACATTCTTCAAGTGGAAATAATGAATGCAAGATTTTAGATGATCAAAATAAAGAAATTTTGAATTATTGTGACAAAGTTGGCCTCAATATTAAGCAATATCTTCCACATTATAATACAAAAGAAGATTGGATCAAACATTTTGGCAAAAAATGGCATATATTTCAACAAAGAAAAATTCAGTTTGATCCAAAAAAAGATT